GGCGACAAAGACTCCATCATGAACTCGGACGCAGTCCAAGGTGCTTCAGAGCGCTCTCACAGACCACCAGAGCTGAAACTGGGCCGCTACCAAGGGTGACAGAGACCAGAACGCCTTCTCGATACTGAGATCGAAGGTGGCCCTGCCTTCGCTGGTCAACACCTCATCCCATACTGTTGCCCATAGCTCACAGCCTTGTTGACCCCCCGCACCATGAATGACGTGAGTGTCAGACCTTCAGAACTATGCTTCCAGTGGCAAGCGCAGTTGACAGTAGTGGCCTCCTTGAGGATCTGATCAGCAGTGAAAGTCAGGCGGGCGTGACTCCAGCTATTGAGTGTTTGGACCATCTCCGGGACGATGTGTGATCGAAGTGGGACCAGGTCAAATGGATCATGTCACAACAGATCTTGTTCGTGACTGCGCCATCTCGCCACGAAAAACGAAGCGCGTGTCCATTTCTGAATGGCGCAAGACTGGGACACACCATCCTGTTGGATCATAGCGCCAATCAACGGTGGGCTCAGGTAGAGGAAAAAACCGATCCTGGTCTTCCAGGTGGTCAGTGTCTGATTCATGTCAAAGGGAGTTCCGCCACAGGGCCTGTAGGGCCATCAAAGACGATCCTGCACCTCAGGACAATCCTGATGGGAAGGGTCTGACCCAAGAGTTCCTGTTGCGAGGTTTGCGCAGCGAAAGGTGTCCACGGCTTCAGACAATGCATCCATCAAGGGGGCCTCGACTGTCCAAGTAGCTCCGAAGAGGGACTATTCCAAGCTCAGGCATCCAAAAGGAGTTGGCCGGACTGATTCATCCACATAGTGCCTGATGGGAAAACTTCAGCATGCAAGCTAGAGGCGCGCAAGCGACGCTCCTCAAAGTATTCCCAAACATCCGTCCAGGACAACCTGAAATCCCGTTGCTCCAGCATGTTGACCCCCTGAACCAACAGCCACAAGGCATGTGGAATAGCAATCTGGTTGCCCAATCCCTTTCATTCCTGGTGTAGATCCTGCCACGACCAGAACCCAAGCACCGTGGATGAGGACAACCGCAACTGGATGCCAAAACCTAAGACCTTCGGACTCAGCAGGTTGAAACCAGTGAGCAAAGTAGCCTTTGGTCTCCAGGAGGATTCAAATGATGTTGATTGCCATATTGGGCCATAAAGGTCGGCAAGCAGCTACTGGCGGATCTGAAAACGTGGGATTCCGAGTACACCGGCGTTGGTGTTTGGCGCTTCGGTGAAGTGGATAATTCCGAGCGCGTTGAAGCGCGTGTTCAGGCGCCAGCAATTTGCCAATGACCTCCTCCGGCCAGGATCGAATGCAGTCCAGCTCCAGCAAAGTCAGGGTGCATTCCACCGACCAGGATGAGATCGCAGACATCTGGATGTCGTCGCCGTGTATAAAATAGGCGATCCCAAGCCACCTGGATCGCCTCACAGGCATCGCGTCACCAAGTTCGATAACTCTGGAGAATCTGAGCTGACACCCTGCGAACCACAATGCTTTTTCGATCCACATTCGATGTGGATGGGAGTGAAAGCCAGCCACCTGTTCGATCAGGATGAGCTTGGGTCGGAGGAGCTTGCGCAATCCGATGCTTCGCGTGAACAATTGCCCTTCCGTGGAGTGTAGACCCTGCTGACAACAAGGGACAGCGGTGTGACAGAGAATAGCTCCTTGCAGCTTTGAAATCAACTTCAATGGAGCCCGATACCATAGGAAGTTCCATTTCGTTCAACAGCTGCGTAGCGAATGACCAGCCTCCCCACGAGCATCCGAAAAGGTGGAGGATGTGAACGGGTCCAACATCACGCTTCTTCAAGGGGAGCACCAAGGTCTGGTCATCAATGGAGAGGTATCCACGGAACTCCGGCCCAGGAAAATTCAGGGCAGCGTTCCAAATCGTGCGTTTCCCATCGATGCCTTGGATGCACATGTTGTGGAGAGCACCTTTCTCACCAGCTTTCCAGTCGAAGGTGATGGATTGTGGCATGAGGCCATCCGGACCAACCCAAACACTATCCATATCCAATTGCTTCAATCCCCTTCCAGCTGCAATCAAATCATCAGTCTCCAGAAGAAAAAGGTCATCGAACTTCTTCAACGCCAGGTTGTCCACCAGCAGGGATGGGCGTTCAGAGAGCCAGCCACCAGTGTCCCCCCAAAGAGCGTAGTTCGACAGGATCTCCCGAGCCGCGCCAGGAAGAAGTCGATCATCGTGATCCATGGCCATGAAATGACATGGCCACGCTGGCACCCCTTCCACAGGGGTTCCCACCACCGCGGGGCGCGAACGAACGCGCCGGGAGGCCTGGGCCCAGGTGGCTACTAGCGATGGCCTCCAACCTGATAGCCATAGCCTCCAACCTACTAGCAATGGCCTCCAGCAATGGCCTCCAACCTACTAGCGATGGCCTCCAACCTAAGACCGATGGTCTCCAACCTAGTAGCGATGTCCTCCAACCTAGCAGCGATGACCTCCACCCGAGTAGCTTCTTATTACTAGTAGGCTTGTCCTGAGAAAAGAACTCTTGGCGGCTGCTTGAACGAGAATAAGCACTCCATGTGATTTCTACATGAAGAAAGGGCAGAAACAACTGGAAGCGTACAGCACACATTCAGGTTTTTGCCATTTATCTACCAGAATATCAAAGCAACAGGAAGGTGCAGGGCAATGAGGAGCAAGGTTAGATGCCGCCGCTAGCTTCGTTCTTGTAGATTCCATATTGCGCTCTTTTCTTGGTTGACCCCGTGTCAGGGATTTGTTTTTTGTTTGCCTTATTGTTTGCCCACCCACACATACGCACATACAGGCCAAAGGTATGATAAGGTGTTATCAAGTCGCCCCAGCCATACCAGACCCTGATGTTGCGGCGACTCATGTATTTTCTGTGTACTGTATTCTTGTTCAATCAATCTTTGCCTCACATTCTGAACTGGCCTTTTGGGAGTTCAGCTCCAACCTCCAAGCACAAAGGATGGTCCACACCTTTTTGTGGCACACCTTTGCCTGCTGTGCAAAGGTAGAGCCAGGCAACGAGCCAGCATTGAACTTCTACCGACGACTTGGCTTCGAGGTGCTCAATCCTGTACCGATTTTGAAGCAAAATTCTTATGAATGCAAACCCATAGGGAGGCTGGCCGGTTTCCTGCAAACAAAGTGCCTTATTATATAGTAGTTATTAGTAGTTATTAGTGGGTTTTGGGAAAGGTTGTCTCAACATGTTGATATTACATATATAGATGGATCTATATATTGAGGTGTTTTGGGACGCTTTGCAGAAGCTACAGTGACAGCGTAGTATGGATGCCAGTGATGTGAAGGTTTTGAACTACATTGCTTACATGGTCTACAGTACAATACACTTTGTATGATGGTCAAGAGAAGAGCAGGCATAAAGGCTCCGTTGGTCAAGCCCATTCAATCCATAGGTCCATAAGTCTGCGTGGGACAGTGTTGGGATGAGCCTAGGAACTTTATCAGCGTCACCCAATATTATATATACACCTACATGCACGCATGGTGGCGCAGGGTTGCTTAACCTTCGCCCAGGCCGACCTCGCAGTGTCACATTTGTCTTTCCTTACTGATACCCTTATATATCTCAATGTAGGCCTACAAGGCCTCTAAAGGGGCTCTAAACCATTAAGCTGGCTAACCTATGCAGCGAATGTTTAGTTCTGAGGATATTTCTTTAGAAAGCCTGTCGCTTCAAATAAAGGCTGGCCAGGCCGAGGTGGACAGGGTTCGCCTTTGATACTTTATAAAAGCGCATGTTCGCTCTGCTGATGCACTTATTTCATTTCAGCTTTAATTGCAGTCTCGTCTCCGGCGTCAGTTTCAAATCTTGTCTCTGGCGTCAGTTTCAAAACTTGTCTCCGGCGTCAGTTTCAAAACTTGGTCCTTCATCAAGACTGGCAAGTGCCAGTTGGTTGAAATTTGCTCAGTGAGTGGGTTGAACATCTCAGGTTGCAGTCCTTGATTTGCTGAACAGTTCCTCCAACATGACTCTTCCAGTGCTTCTGATGCTACTTCCATCGTTTGCATTTCTAAGACCCAGGTCAACCGATTATCCTACCGAACCCATCCAAGCCGTCCAATTCGTAGCGTAATTTCATATTCATTCTTTGCAGCTCTTCACCATCATGTGACGAATTCAGTTCAGAAAAAAAGGCACCCCAACTTGTCTAGAGAGAATCCGCATATTTGAGTCAATTGTATATACTTAGAACGACGCATTGTGGGCCGAATTTCTCCAGAAGTGTGTTCATAACTTTGCGGGGTGGATGCATGTTGAAGACACGCACGTACAAAAGATTGCCCTTTGGATTCGTTGCATAGTATTTAACAGGTCCCCTAATCCTTGAAGCAGATGCTTTGGCTTGTGAAGTGCAAAAGGAGGTTTCCCTTGCCGTGTGTGTTTTGTGTGGTATATTCTGGCTTGCAGGGCAGCTGTTCAGGCTATATTTTCTTGCCATGTGACAATCATTGGCTCGCATTTCTTCTTTGCTTTTCAGTCATTGGATCTTGCTGGACTATCAAAGTTATCTTTTTTTACGTAGGCAGCGTTCTCATATTTAGTTTTACCAGTCCTTGTGGACTCAGTATCTTTGGACGGAAGCAGGTTGGTCTGCAAGGAGCGGCTATGTGAAAGTTGGTCTGCAGGTCGGTGAAGAAGAAGTTTACCGAGAACGACGCGCAGTGCGACTGACCAGGCTGCTGTGATCCTGGCGACTGTGTGCAACAAGTGAACAGATACCAGGCATAAAACAGGTTGTTTGGACGTTTCTCAGGATAGGTGTGGCGCAAGAGACGGTGTTTTGATGCGGCGCATTGCAGCCGGTTCTGAATTTCTTTGCTCAAACACACACCCACAAACAAGAGTGGCTTGCTGAATGCCCTGTGGATGGATACAGTATCTGGCAAGATACATGTTTATGTTCAAGATGTCAATCGTGCAAGAATACAAGTCAGAACACCTTGAACCAATTGTGTTGTTTTCTACATCCTGCGTAATAGCTCACCCACCACATACCTTGGAGATGCATGGCAGGCTAGAGGCTGATGGGATATTGCTTTGTGTGATTTGAGGGTTTTTCTCGAGAGAACTTTGACGTTGAGAGACTCTTTTGCACAACTTGAACATGTGGCAGGCGCAGCCGGCACGGTCAGTGCTGCCGTGACCTTGAGCAATCCGAGATTGAGATCAACCTGAGCAGAAGCAGTTTGTGAGGCACCTGCGTGCAACTCAGCTGTTTGACGCGCTTGACGTGCTGCACCAGGGCTGGTTGGAGGCCAGCGTGACATGTGCTAGAACAAAGATGATGAAATGCAAGATTCCTCGCTTTGCCAGCTGCGTTGGGCCACAGATGCACTGGCATCATTCAAGCTCCCCAAGAAGGAGACTTTCAGGATGAAAAGCACAAACTCAACAGAACAGGTTGTGCCTTTCCTACACAGAGGAAGTTGTGGCCAATGCCAGGAGCATGAAAGAATGGCGATGCTTCTAGAGCGTGCTGCTCATGCAGGACGTTGCCATATGTGAGCCGGAGCAGGGTACCTTGCCAGCATGCACGTGTTGCATTTTCTGCCAAATGTCAGGAGGTTGTGGAAGTTCAGACCAACGACATGTCACTCGGAAGAGCTTTCTGAAGGTCTGAAGATCTAGCTTCTTCAGCAGGCAATAGGTTAATAGGTATCAGGGACATTAGACAAAGTGTTTTCTTGTCAGATTCCATCATGTCCATGAAAGCGCAATGTTTCTTGAGTAGACTGCAGGAAGTTGCTGCAGAAAGATCTCAATCTTGCTCCCTGAGTGGAGGACTCAGCGCCATGTATGATATTGCGTCCTCAGACCTGCTGATGTGAAGGTGTTGGGCGGTTTGAAAGCAAGAGTTCTTGCGATCAGGAGGGTAGGGATTGGTTCGCTTGTCACAATTGCCAGCAGTTGCAGCAAGTGGTCTGCTTGCCATCATCAGGAATCCCGAACTTGGAATTGGCCAAGAGCAAAGGCAGATGATTCATGCGCATACGTTGTATCTCAGTTCCGCTAGACAATTTGAAACTCTGTTGACATTGTGCTGTTGCATAACGTTTTTTGAATCAGGTTTGCTCCCCGCCTGCTTCTTCGCGACCCGTGTCTCCGTTGTCGCAGGTGGAAAGAGCTGTGCTCAAAGCAAGATTCTTCTCCTCAAAAGTCTTTTCATGTCTATTCAGTCTTCTTCTCCGTTAGGTCCAGTTGGGTCTTTTTTGCCTTTCGCCTGCCATCTCTTTGCTTGCCAGGCCGCCTCACTTCGCTCAAGCCCAGAGGCGCTGCTGTCCCCTGTGCTCAAGTCTTGCGTCTTCATACTTCACCTATTGAGGTGAGCTTGTCTCCTTCGCCTCCGTGAATTTCTGAGATTGATGCCTCTCTCCTTCTTTGTATACAAAGGCATAGAGGGTGTCCTGGTAATACCTGCTTTGTAACTGTCACAGGGGGAAGTGCATAAGTCTATGCAGTGCATTACACACCTTCAATAGCAAATGTTTGGATGAGCAGGCATAAATATCGTGCCTCTACATCAAGTCAATGAACACGAGAATATGCCTGTCGCATTCTGCAAAACGTATTTGGTTCGAAACACTATACTGTATATATCAATCACGAAAGCCAGCCGATAGGCTAGGCTGGAGTTGGGTTGGGCGAACGAAGTGAGTAAAGGGGGTGTGGGGGGGGGTGGTCGCACACGGGTCAATTTCGGAGGGCGAACCCAGAGCCTGGCAGGGGAGAGCGAAAAAATTGAGGACTCGAATGGGATTGAACATGTATGGATTTTGGGGGTGTTGTGATGCAAGTGATGTAGTAATTGACGGCCAGTGGTGCATCATTAGCATTATGAGGGGCTCAGGAGGCAATGTAAATCGTCTTCTACCAGGAGTGGGAGTTCATGTCGACAACGGGGCGCGAAAAGTGGCTGGAACTCCTCCAGGAAAGGCAGATGTGCGTCTGGTGGCCATTGAAAATCGTCGATGATCTGTGAGGGCAGGAGAGGGAACAGAATGCTGTGGGGAAGGTGGAAGACAGGCATAGCGGAGGAGGATAGGTAGGAAAAGAGGGTTTGCAAGAAATGTGGGCACTGCGTGGCATCTTTACCATTCACCCTTTTCAGCTTCAAAATTTCCTTGAGCAAAAACAGGCCCCCCCCCCAACCCATGTATTCTGCTTTCTATTTCCAACAGCAGTAGCATCACTGCTATGTCGATGTCCCCCCATAACAACGGCAATCTTTCCCCGAAGTCCTTGTGTGATCTCAGCAGTAAACTCTCCTCGGTCCACTCTTAGCAGCGCACCGACTTTCTGAGTCTATCTACAACACAAGACAAACCAACAGCAGGCAAACGCCCCTCCGTTACTTAGAGGTGCCCTTTTTTATCTTCAAAACGCTCCTTGAGCAACAAGAGCAGGGGCACCCCACAGCCCCACCTCTACTACGACTGTCCACCTCTGCCTTTTTTCCTCATTCTTGACCCTGTTCCAGTGCGCTCTCGACTTCACCCCGCATTGGAGGCTGGCTTTCGTCCCCTCCCTTCTCAGGTATATATATATATATACAATTCTATACACATATACACTTTTAGAAATGCGTACTGATGTGAAAGCGGTTGCCACACGCCAACCTGGGTACCCAATTCCTGAAAAGGTCAAGTAAACCTACGGAGCCTGGAGGTCTTCAAGAGGAAGCAGGGCCAAAAACCAATGCTGGCCGGGCACTGATATCGCATCCACTAGGCGCGGTTTTTGTTAGATGAGGCACACCAAGGGATCCTCACCCCCCTGCTCTGCATTGAAAAGAAAAAAGTCGCGTCTCAGCATTGCGCAGGAAAAAGCTAGTGCGAAACAATCCCAAAGGACGCCTGTAACTCCAACGGTTACGCACACACACACACACTCACACAGACACGCCCCTGCAATGGGGGGCACTTTTCAGCTGAGGTCCAATCGATGGGGTGAGAAAGGCGAGATCAAGAAAAGGTAGGAATTTCCCCCAGCCGTTATCTGGGGTGAGGATGGTTGGCGCTAGCTGCACAATGAAAGGCCCACGCACCCCTGCACGCTGTTATCCGGTAGGGTGTAGACCCCAGCGTATGGAAGGGAAAGGAAAAGGTTGTAGGCATGTTTGCAATGTGTGGCTTGGTGTCGGCAGCAAGGCCAGCAGGAGAGGGCTGCAGAGCGGCGGGAGGCGCAGGGAGAGGAAGAACAAGAAAAGGCATGAATTTTTCCCAGGCGTAAACTGGGGTGAGGATGGTTGGTGCGGTTGCCAGCTGCACAGTGAAAGGCCCAGGCGCCCCTGCACGCTGCTATCCGGTAGGGTGCAGACCCCGGCGTACGGAAGGGAAAGGAAAAGGTTGTTAGGCGTGTTTGCAGTGTGTGGCTTGGTGTAGACGGCAAGGGAGTCGCAGGGAGAGGACGAGGAGGAATCATCCCCGACAGGTTCCAACGAACATCAAAATGCTTTGACCGCTGCGGTCACTCTGTGCCATGCCAAAATGGTGGGCGACTTGAGACCGCTCTGGTCACCTAACAGCATGCCCGAAGGCGGCCAGCTTGGAATTCAATAATCCGTCAAGTCTCGGCAAATAACTTTGGCTCAAGCCACCCCGTGTTCAACGAGTCCACAGGGGCTACTCTTCGGGGTCACCCTGGGCTCTCACTAAAGAGAGACACGCTTATAGAGCTGCGTTGTGAAAGCGGTTGCCACGCGCCAACCTGGGTACCCAATTCCTGAAAAGGTCAAGTAAACCTACGGAGCCTGGAGGTCTTCAAGAGGAAGCAGGGCCAAACGCTCAATGCGTGACTGCAGAAAAGGCACATCAGTGCTGGCCGGGCACTGATATCGCATCCACTTGGCGCGGTCTTTGTTAGATGAGGCACACCAAGGGATCCTCATCCCCCTGCTTTGCATTGACAAGAAAAATGGAAAAGTTGCGTCTCAGTGCAGGAAAAGGCTAATGCGATACAACCCTAAAGGACCCCTGTGGCTCCAAGGGTTACACACACACACTTAGGATGGGTGCTCCGCTGGGCTTCAGAGATGCGCGGTGAGCATTAGCCTTTTAGGGGAATACTTAGCACTTGACGGGATTCAACGGAAAGAAGTGAAGGGTCAGAAAAACAAAATGTTTGAACGTAGGTGAAACATGAAGCATCAATTAAAATGAGAGGGGCTTGTTGTGAGCGCTTGTTGTGAGCGGTTGAACAGTAAGAAATCTAGGATTAACCTAGATTAATCCACTGCCAGAAAGTTAATCAGATGCGCAGCGGCAAGCGTGCAAACATCATTTTCATTGAGACAAAGATTGAGAAGACAACTGGCAGAGATTGAGAACATCGCTTTTTGATATACAACTGGCAGAGATTCATAGGACAAACGCATTCACATGGGCATTCATTCAAATAAAAGAAATACCAGTGTTCAGTGAGTTTGATGAGTGGAAGCACTGGAATGATACAAAGATAGAAGATCTAAATCTTTACATGGTTCAAGTTTATTCATCTAACATCTTCTTCAATAAGAAATATAATCTAATATGGTCAATGCTTAAAAACAATGATTGAAAACAAAACAGAATTAATCAAATACCCTACTGCATCCATAAAATTAATTATAGTGGTATAGTGGATCAACTGAATGAAACAGTCTTATGTGATGACATTGAAGAAGACAAACCCAACAAAAAAAGGATAGCACATATCACCTTTGGAATGCTAGAGAAGTCCAGCAACACAGCACAGAGGAGTTATATTTTTAATTCACTGAGGGAAGCCATCCACTATCAGAGACAAAGTGGTGGAAGGATATATGCCATCCAAGAAGAAACTGTTATATATGAAGTAGATGAAGATGATGATAAAGAAACAAGAACAGAAGGTGAGACCTGCTACACCCTAAATGTTGATAACAAAACAAAACTGATGAATGGTTTTAGATTCATAAAAGAGTTGCTACTGCAATATCACAACTTTGCAATGTATGAAGCATACAATAAGTAAAGAGAAAATAATATCAAGATCTTTTCAGTCAAATCACATGCTTTTACCATTGATGAAGATGATTTAAATAGAGTCATGGGGAAACCAAATCATTTCATCAAACCATACCGGACTGGACTTTTACAGTTTGAGACTGGAATAGGAATAGGCAACTGGAGACTGACAAACAAATCAATCAACTTCCCAACATGTCAGTATAGATTCAAACTTAATAACTGTATTGAAATTCCTGTTTATGAAAATCACCGCATTGATGTAGTTGATGAGTTTGACACTGAGACTGGTTGTAATCAAATCATTCAACAAAACCCCTGCATGATCAGAGCAAAAATTGCAGGATCAGGCAAGTCATACATAGGACAGTATTTCAAAAACCTAGGTAAAACTGTTTTGTTTGTTGTTCCTCACAACCGGTTAAGTCAAGAAATAGAAGGTGATACCACCACTTACAACATGTTGTTTAGAATTCCAGTTAATAAGGGTGATGAACTACCTGAGTTTGACCACAGTGAGTTTGATGTCATCTTCTTTGATGACATCTACATGACCAACAGGCATATCTGCAAAAAGGTACTGCATTTTAAATATCAACATGAGGGAAGTAAGATCATCATAGGTGCTGGTGGTACAAAACAGTTGGAGCCAATCAATGATCTAACTAATACCCAACCACATGATAAATACGCTGACCAGTGTATGGACAAGATCTTTTATATACAGCGTCTACCTCAAGATCTGTAAGAGAGCAGGTGAAAAGGACAGAAAAGTCTTAGATGAACTGTATGATGATTTTTGGATACATAAACTCCCCATAAGAATAATTATTTAACGATACTTCACATATACAAATAAAAGTAACAGAACAGATATGAACATTGCCTATACCAATGACAGGTGTAGATATGTACCAGATGAAGTCAGAAAACAACTGGGATACACTAACCCCTATGGGGTGGGTGAGGAGTTGATATGTAGGCTTTACCTCAAGCAAAATGGAGAGAAGTTTAATGCCAACATACGTTATACAAATTTATGTATAAATTGATCTAATATTACAATAGAAAACATCAAAAACAAGAAGAAGCATACACTAGATGAAGACATTTTATACAAGCACTTTAGGTATGACTGTGCTACTTGCCATAGTTGCCAAGGTGCAAGTATTGAGGCTAATATTACCATTCATGAGTGGCAACATCCCAGACTGTCCAGAGAATGGTTGTGGACAGCGATCACAAGAGCAACTGATTTCAACAATGTTTCAGTTTATGAAAACATTCAAGCAGAACAAAATAGACAAGAACAGAAACTAAAGCAATATTTTAAAACAAGATTGAAGGATACAAGCAACAGGACAGGAAAGCAATCAGAGAATTGAACCTAGACAATTATGTTGATGTGGGTTGGTGTCTGGATAGGTTGGATGGAACATGCAGGGAAGTGGTCTCCGCTTTCGATGCCAAACCTGTAGCAAATGGAGCAGATGAGTCAGATAGGTGTCTTTTTCGGAATAGGATTAATCTAGATTAATCCTGCAGACGTCAAAACCTCGAAAAAAACAAAAACAAACGCATCATTTCCACACCACTCCATGTTTGGGAAACTTGGGTTTTTCTAGGAAACACCAAAAAACAAAAAAAACAATTTTTTTGAGTCCATGCTCTGATATGTGGGGTTTTAGTGTTTTTACTGTAAAAACCAAAGTTTCCCAGACATGGACCCAACCACTTTGTTTTTTTTTGGGGGGTTTTTCTAAGGACTTTTTTGTTGTGAGAGCGCAAAATCAATGTAGAATAACACAGATATCACAATATATCACAATACAAGTGAAGAAAAACATGATTTTGCACCACTCACAACAAGCCTTTCTGATTAAAAATTGGCAGGTACGCTGGGATGATCAGTCCCAGTACCACCAAGGCGTAGAGAGCCTCTTCGTTGGTGGTAGGCTCTCTGCCTTGCTACTGCCCCTGGTGGAATCTGTACAAAAAGTAGGTAGAAAAGGTTCAGGTAGGTGTAGTGCCCCTGGAAACGGGGGCTGACACACAGACAGAGAGCCGAACTCGGCGCAGCTAGTATAGGGTAAAAGAACGTCATTACAGTCAAAACGTTCCATGCCTTTTTGCCGCTGCAACGCTGCAGCGCAATGTATTGGCGAGTGATCTTTTGTCACGTAAAGCTGGACAAATGCTTGGGGTGGGGTGGAAGCAAAGGTCTGGTGGGAAGAAGCTTGCAACCACCGCGCAGTCTTGTGGTTAGAGTAGTAGGAAACGGAAAAGGAAGTAGGAGAACCGAAAACTAGATTAAAACTTAGAGATTAAAATTGGGAAATCTCCTGGGCTGAAACGAATTCAGAGGGGAATGTCAGTAAGCTCCGCAGCAAGGTTCATAGATACCGAGGTGAAATGTTTTCCATCAAGCATACTTCAAGCAAGAGATTCAGCTTCGGTTGTTTGAGGTCCAGACTGGACTATACAGTGGGTTCTCTCCAAAAAAGGAGTAAAAAGACTCAGTAACGCCACAGTGGGAAGAAGCTGCGAATCACACTTTAAAATTGGCAGGTATGCTGGGATGATCAGTCCCAGTACCACCAAGGCGTAGAGAGCGTCTTCGTTGGTAGTAGACTCTCTGCCTTACTACCTGCTAGAATCTGTCCAAAAAAGTAGGTAGAAAAGGTTCAGGTAGGTGTGGTTAGTGCCCCTGGAAACGGGGGTTGACGCACACCCACACAGAAGCACACTTAGATGGATGCTCGCAAGAGCTGAGTCGGTTGACGAAGTCCCACTTTACACGCATTAGCCCTTGACTCGATGGAATCGAAAAATGCAGAACCGAAAGGTGAAAAGGTCCGCATACTTGGAGATGTTTGAACAATTTTTTGCAACTCAGTAGCCGCTTTCAACAAAAAAACGTAGTGGACAGATTTGAAACTGGTTCAAACGTGTAATGCAGGTACACCAGGTTGATCAGACCTGGCTTCCCAGATGCAAGGTAGCTTTGTTAGGCGCAGTCCCTTGCATCTGCTTTTAAAAATTGGCTTGAAAAAACTTTACAATGTGTGTAGCCTTAGGAACAGGCTTTGACACACACGCATCACGCCGATATCGGCGCTCAAGTGAGGTACTAGCCACCTAACAAGCCTTTAGAAAGAAAGACAAAGAAAAACAAAAAGAGCAAACGAAGAGGGCAAGAGAGAAAGGTAGGTGTAGTGACAAGGCCCACTAGTTACGAAACTTTCTAGTTACTGATTACTTAGCAGTATGAATTAGACGCAAAAGTTAGCGAGCGGGACTTTAGTCTTAGACCGCTCGGGTAGGTAGGACTATAGGACAGGAGAAACAGAAGGAAAGGCACCAACACACAAGTGTGTTGAGTGCGATTTCCTTCTGTTACCCTAGATAGCGGGTGGGGTGGCCCGAAGGCAATGCCGCACCGGCGGTCAAGTAAAGCCGTAATCGGCTGTCCTTTGACTGAAAGGCACCTGGAACCTAAAGAAAGGCCTCAAGAAAACGAAAAGCAACAGCAGGAAAGAAAAACCAAACGGACCAAAAGAGAACCCACTTACGTTTCTCGCTGTCGTCGCGTCACGTTTTGTCGTATACGGTGCTCCCTTGACGAAAGCTTCGCCTGATACCTAAAGGCCTCATGTTTCTCACTCCCTTCACGTCATACCTAAAGGCCTCACGTTTCTCACTCCCTTCACGTCGCGTTTGGCCGTACTCCGGGTTCGTTTGGTGTCGTTTTTCGGTTTGCGCGCGCGCAGGTAACTGGCCTGTGAATACTTAGCAGCATGACGTGGACATGTGATTACTTAGCAGCGTGCAAAATTCCCAACTGGAGTCTGATCCCAGTAAGCCCTGCGGCGTTCAATCAGCAGTCTCATGCACACCCGGAATCCAGTGAGAGTCGGAGTGAGGGTCACAAGAAGGACAGGAGGGTTCAGTGGGATTCCCCCAGGATCTGGGCCTATGCACATGCTGCGCCCCTCGGTGGGGATCACACCACAGCCCGCAGTGGGACTATGCGGCGACGCACACTTAGATGGATGCTCGCAAGAGCTGAGTCGGTTGACGAAGTCCCACTTTACGAACCGAAAGGTGAAAAGGTCCGCGTACTTGGAGATGTTTGAACAATTTTTTGCAACTCAGTAGCCGCTTTCAACAAAAAACCTAGTGGACAGCTTTGAAACTGGTTCAAACCTGTAATGCAGGTACACCAGGTTGATCAGACCTGGCTTCCCAGATGCAAGGTAGCTTTGTTAGGCGCAGTCCCTTGCATCTGCTGCGCCCCCCTGCTGTTAAAAATTTGTTTTTTCATTTACAATGTGTGTAGCCTGAGAAACAGGCTTTGACACACACACACACACTTAGATTGATGCTTGCGAGAGCTAAATCAGTTAGTGAAGTTCCACTTTACACAAATTAGCCCTTGACTTGAAGGAACCGAAGGATGCTGGAACGGAATGGCGGCTGAGTCAGTTGACTTGAAGATGTTTCAACAGTACATCAGCGGGAAAATGGGTTTAGGGGAATAGCATGGAAGGACCATGAATCAAAAATGGAGAACTGGAGTCGCAGCGTGTCGAAAGGTTGTTTCAGCAGGTACGTCGACAGGACGTCTCCTGTCGATATCACGAGCAAGAGACAGGTGTCTTCGTTGGCGCCTGCCCTATCTCTGCTCCAGGTGCCCCCTGCCTGTGTAAAAATGTGGTGTCCTTTGGTACAGGTGTACACACACACGGAGCCGGAGACCGGCGCGCGCTCTTTTTTGTCCGCGGGGAAAGGAGGGGGAAGAGGGTGTGGGAGTGCATTGACTAAATGAGCCTGGATGCCAACCTCACAAACCCTAAAAAAAGGAACAAGGCAAACGAACAAGGCAAGGAAAGAAAGGAAAGGTGCATGGGGTGCGGGGGTGTGGGCGGGGCGTGCGTTGATTAAACGAGCCTAAACGTCAACCTAACAAGCCTGAAGGAAAGCCCAAGCAAACGAAAATGGCAAGGAACGAAAGGTGCGAGGGGTAAGCCGCAAGCGGCGCACCCTTGACTAAAAGGCTTGAATTGCACCTAAAAAGCCGCTAGAAGACGAAAAAAGATTTAGAAAACGAAGGGCAACAGCAGGAAAAAAAGAACCAAAAGGTGACTACTTAGCAGCGTCCTATGATTACCTAGCAGGGGATCACACCACAGCTCGCAGTGGGACGCTGTGGCGAAAGACACTTAGATTGATGCTTGCAAGAGCTAATTCAGTTAGTGAAGTTCCACTTTACACAAATTAGCCCTTGACTTGAAGGAACCGAAGGATGCTGGAACGGAATGGCGGCTGAGTCAGTTGACTTGAAGATGTTTCAACAATGTGTTTCAGCGGTGACGCGGCTGTACATCAGCGGGAAAATGGGTTTAGGGGAATAGCATGGAAGGACAATGAATCAAAAATGGAGAACTGGAGTCACAGCGTGTCGAAAGGTTGTTTCAGCAGGTACGCCGACAGGACGTCTCCTGTCGATATCACGAGCAAGAGATAGGTGTCTTCGTTGGCACCTGCCCTATCTCTGCTCCAGGTGCCCCCTGCCTGTGTAAAAATGTGGTGTCCTTTGGTACAGGTGTGGACACAATGTGAGGCGAAACCTTGAGGATTTACTACTGCCTCGAAGACAAGCAAAAGAACAAGCAAACAACACATGAGCTTGAACAACCAAACAACATGTTTTCAGGTCCTTTTTTGGACCAAAGCCGGACACTTGCAAAGCCTGGAGCAACACCACTAAACCTGTCCAAGCTAATGGGCACGTTTTCAGAAAACCAAAATACGCAACAAATACACTATATTGAATATAATGATTTCAGGGCCATCCCTGGACCAAGGCAATCCCAAACAATCAAACTGGCAAAACAAAACGAAACCTTTGACCAAAAGGTTCTACACTCACATGCAGTTATTGTTTGGATAAGGCGCATCTTACTTGCTAAGGCTTGCGGTGCTTTCATCTGCAAAAATTAGTTGTGATGCGCACGATACACTAGCAACGGTTGTGAAAGAGAAGTGGGGGTTACAACAGTTTTCATAGGACGATTGGAATTAATTTGAGTTCTCAGAATCAATAGAACACGTAAGCACAGTCAAATCTTCTGAAATGAAAACTTTGATTGTACCCTGTGGTTACATAGACACATACATGCCTTCGTGGACCCCTGATACAAGTACCATGTTTCATGAGTACCCGGCTCGCACATGTACCCCACACATGTACCTCAATGTGTCTGCCGGCCCGGCCCCTCGGAAACATACCAAAACATTTTATTGGTCTTAATTTCGATACCTACATGTTAATGCATATACATATACACTTCTTTTTTGTCGCTCAGAGTTTGTATGACCATACCTTTGGATTATGTATAGAGCACCTGGTAGCATGTCAATGCGTTTGCCTGAAACTTGAGGTGGGGCATATCTCGGGGCTGTGCTGCCGCGTCTTGCATGCATTTAAATGATCACAGCTACATACAGGCCTAAAGCTCTGACCGTGAGCTCTTTTGCTTGTGCCTTGTATCTGGCTCAAACGGGCTTAGACAAGACCCGCAAACTACTACCATTTTGTTGGAGTTCACTCCGGGCACACGCACTGCAAAAGAAAGCGCAGCACAATGTGTTCCTCACTTTCTCCTTCTCACACCTCTCCTTGTTTTCCCTCCCCACATTTTTCCAAATGGACTGAGGGGGATTTTGAGAATACACAACTTTTCAAGACCCCACAACACGCTAGTCTCAAAACCATTCGTTTGAGCATGGACAGCTGGCCGCCGCCATTTGAAGGGCAGGCACGTATGCAGAATTCTTGGGTTAGAAAGCTTGATTTATCTATTGATTGATTGATTGATTGATTGGTTGGTTGGTTGGTTTGTTGGTTGAATGCTATCAATGGTAACTTGGACACTAATGGTTTCCTATGATGTCCTTTTTTGTGCGCAGGGATTTCAGGAAGTTCGGGGGCATGTTCTTGTTGGTTGGGAAGCTTACTTGGATGTGGAAGCGCTCATGTGCCTTCTACTAGCTTCGAGGGCCTCTTGGCTGATTTCATTCATCTGATGCCGCGTGCCCGTCTTCTTTGTGCTTCAGCCTTTTCTTTTTCTCTCACATTTTTCAATTGTTCCGTTACTGTCCCAGCACTTCCATCAACTTTGAATGTTGTGGATCTCTTCCATAGTTCTTTCCTACAAGAACTTCCTTGAGGTGTGTTGTCTAATCCCGGACATGTTTCTCTTCTTCGTGAAGGTCGTTCATGTATGTCTCAACAGCGTGTGTTTGCTTGATGATGCAGTTCCTGATTCTTGCGCTTTGGACGCTGATGCCCACGATGACAGCAAGAATTCGCAACTCTGTGAAAATTTGCCTCAGAACAGTAGCTTGTACCCAGCTGCAAACACAGCACAGCTCAAGTCCAACTTGACAACCAAGCCAGTCCTTTGACATGCAAGTTCTTTGTCAAACTGTTTGCTAGTTGCTGCTCTGATAGCCACTTGACTCGACGTTCTTAGTCAAGCACTGTCTGATAGCAACTTCAAGAGACAAGCGTGCATCGCTCAACAGCATACGCTTGGAATATAGACTTTAGCCTAGAACTGCGACCCTTAACTTAGCTCTTGGTCAAGCTGCAAGCTTTGAAACCAAGCTCCTGGAATCAAAAGCTAAAACTAAAACCAACGTTACTCTTGCAAAATTCAGCGTGCACACGGAAATTGATTGCACAGGAGAGGCTGCTGCATTTTATCATTGATTCTGATTGCCCAAAAGTATCCTCTCTCACTTATGCCCTGGGACATTGTTGAAAGAAGCATGATGCACAGCTACCAGTGTTACGTTCTTTGAGCAAAAGGAAGCATGCAGTCCCTCGTCTTCTGAACCTTAATCTCTTTGTCAGAGTCGCCGTGACAAAAGGACAATTCAATACCAATATGAATTCTCTCATCGGATTTCGTCCCTGTTCAAGGAGGTCTCAGAGGCATCGAAGCAGCATTTGCTGGCAGCGCTCATTCAGTTGGTGCAAGAAGGCAGAGATGTGGACAAGGCATGCAAGTTTGTTTGGTTCCAAGTAGACGATTTTGACCCATTCAGTTTGCAGTACAAGCAGCGCAACAGAGGATTGCACAAAAGAAGCATGTATCATGCAAAGCATTGAACACTCCGTCATTTGCTTTTCCAATTCTAGGCAGTCGCAAGCTTGGCCCGAATAGGGGCGCGGGGTGACGCACGAGTCATCCATGCTGTGTTGTTGGGCCTTGCTTTTGGTTCGAGAATGCCCAAAGCTCAAAGAAGTTGATGTGAATGTCAGAAGCCAAAGAAACAACAAGACACATTGACAGTGCATAACCCAACATGCGGAGACATTTTCCGATTCTTTGTGCAGGCAGGTTAGAAATGCGCTACGGCGACTAGCTGACAAAGGGGACCCCATCGTGGTGGAGGCGGCTCTTGCTTTGGAAGAAATGATGTATATACAGTACATATATATATATAAAATACATGACACATGATGACGCATCGCTGTTTTGCCACTGATCACAATCTTCAGGCAGTGAGCAGATACTTTGCACACGATGATGGTTCGGTCCGCAGAGAAGCCATTCTGGCTACTCCGCACTTGGTCAGGCCGAGCAGACTGGAAGCTGCGCTGAACGGCAAGCAAAGCACCATTTCATTGGAACTGCACTTCCCTTTACAGTCTTGTGAACAGACGCGCTCTTTTCTCTTGACAAAAAAATGCCTTCGATTCGGTGGTCTCACCGTTTGTTCGTTTGGAATCCTTCGGACTCCCCCTTTCGTCCTTGACGAAAAAGCTGTAGCCTTTTCAGGCAAAATGCCTCGGCTCAAGGCGGTGTAAACTGGCATTTTGCCTTGTAGTACTCCGCTCTCATCTTTTCTTTCGTCCAGCCCCTTCTGGCGTGCTGCTTTTGAAACTTGTTCCAGGGATTCTCGGGCTCTGTCGATGCCCTTGAGCTTGATGAAGGCATGCTCATCGGTCCCTGGAGTGCACCGTGGAGGATCATTGAGGCTCTCTCCACACTAGCGGCTGCTCTGTCAGCAGCTCGGGCGGCCAGTTGAGCGCTCACTGCCGCCTCTTCAGCATCACCCGCGGCCTTAGATGCCGCCTCAGCCACATCCCTGCTTGTTCGGGAACTGGACACGGAGCGGTCTGCTGAGCCCGATTGCCTCTGAGTAGGCATGGATGTAGAGCCATCTGCCGAGCCCGATCGTCTCCTGGTAGGCACGGACGTAGGTCCATCTGCTGGGCCCGATCGCCTCCTTGTAGGCAGGGTCATAGGGCTTCTGCTCGACATAGTGGCTTCATCACTCTGGGCTTGAGGGTTTCGCGTCCTCAAACTTTGCGGTGTTGTCACCAAAACATCAGCCCCTCCATCTTCATCGGCTGACGTTGAACTCTCCTTTTCTTCATCTTCACCGGAGCCCTGCTTCTTCCGAGGCTTGATGGTCACCTGGTGCAACCGCCTCAGACAGCAATGCATTGACGCATAGATCGTGCTGCCAACCCAGATTGCCCCAATCGCAATCAAAATCAGGCCACAGATCCAAAGGGCGTCAACTGTTGAATCCTCCGCCGGACTCCCTTGAGCTTCAGCCGTTCGCACCCGCACACTTCCTGCCAGCAATGCTCGAGCGGCGGCCGCTTGATCATGTACTTGAGGGGGTCGTCGATCAGCTCCATTCTGCTCTTGTAGTAGGAGTTGTCGACGGTCCATCTCAATGACCTTCAAACTGGCTTCCTCTCCCTTCAGGCCCAGTCCTTTGTTTGGACAAGCTGTGTATACTCAGCTTGAATAGCCGGGACCCAATTCTCAAAATCATCCATCACTTCTTTTGCGCTCACTGTTTTGGTGACCAGGAACTCATCCTCCATCTCTTTCTGGCACAGCTGCACCTGATCTTGATGGTTTTGCAACAACTGTTCCTCGGCCTCCAACTTGTGCAGCACAGCTTGGCTTAGCACCCCACTGTACCAGGCCCGGCCCGGGGGACCCTCCCCACCAGCGTTTGAGGATTTCGAGGATGATCTTGACGGTGTTTCTATGGTCCAGCTGTCACTGCTCCAGTCAGTCGCATCCAGCTGCCTATCATTCGGACCATGAGCATCGAATGCATCTCGGTGCAAACACAGCCATTTTTGGACATATGCACAGGGCCATTTGTGAGCATAGGCACAAGGCTCCCCCTCCATGCCCAGCATGGATAGTTGTGGGAACGACGAGGAATGTCCCCTTCCCATGCCGCCGAACCTGAGGGCTCTTGTTGAAGAGGCAGGTACACATGATCATCATCAGCTTCCGGCTGGTCAGCGCTTGGTATCACCACATCATCCGTGTAGAAATACTTTTGAGTTTCTGTTGACCGCACATAGTAGCTTGTGGAGGTGAACGAACTTTGCAAGGCTGGTCCAAGCACCTGTACTTCATCTCGGATCGTCCTCCACGGTTGGTAGCGATCCTGCCAAGACTTTTTCAAAGCGTAGGCCTTGGCCCCAAACTTCAGCAGCGGTCCAACGGGGACTCCAAGGGATCTGAGCTGTCCTCGAAGCCGGCGTTCGCCGATGTGGATGGCAGCTAAGGGCCACTGGTTGAGATCCAGACCCGTGGTGGTCATGATCGTGCGGACATGTTTTTTGATCATTCCCAGCTCTCCTTCAACCCGGCCATTGGACTTGTAGGAATCACCTGAAGTCAAAGTTGTCACGATGCTTCTGTCCAATGTCCATCGACGAACTGGTGCCGAAATCAGCTCTCTGGCGCGGTCGCAATGGAGTCTGTACAGAGGCAAACCCAGACTCCGAAGCCGAGCATAGATCCTGGCAAGGGCTCGAAGGATGTGTTGAACCCCCCGGCTTGGAAGAACCTCCACGAAGGTCAAGTTTCTGACAGCCACATCTTGCACAGAGGCCACTTCCTTTTGCCAAGCATCGAAAGCAGTGCGACCGGCTCGAACAGCAGCTGGCAGCAGCATCAGCCCCTGCCTGTGACGGGCCGTCAATTTGGTCCTCCCCCGGAATCTCATCCACCTCCTCAGGAATCAGGAAGAAAATCCTCACCCGGGTCCTCTCCGCCTGGCTCCGTTGGGGTGTACTCCTCAAGGTCCAGCGATGGCATGCCCACTTCCGCCCCCGCTTCAACTTTCTCCAGCAGGGACCGACCAGCACCGTCGATGGGGAAGGTGTACACCGCCACCATCATGTACTTGCAGTCATGGCGGCTTTGACCTTGACCAATCACCATCCTCCCTGACAGGTCAACACTCAATGTATAGGCCTCAGGGTGCGTGATCCGCCCATGCGGTTTGCTCCTTGCAGCGGCTTTGACACATTCTTTGCAATCCCTTCTAGCGGGCATATGGTCCTGGAGATAGTGTTGCCTCCAACTTTCCAAAGCAACCTGACCCAAAGGCCGGAGAGCTGTTTCCAATGC